CCTGCCTGATCACGACCTGTCTGACTCCGATCCCCGAGCTTGCCTGACCCCTGTCTGTTTAGTCTGCCTGCCTGAGATCTGCTCCGCCAGTCTCTGGATCCTGCCTGCCTCCCCGTGCTCCGACCTCGCCTGCTCCTGACTCCGTGCTCCCGCCTGCTCCTCTGGATTGCTTCCCTGGCTCTGACCCTCGACCGGCCCCTCACTGGATTTTGCATTTGGATTACCCTTGGTACCTTCGCTGCCTGGACCACCCGTTACCAAACCTGGACTGTTCTGACCACGCCTCTGCCCAGTCCCATCCTCTTAATAAACTCTGTTAAACTGACCATTACGTCTCTGGTTGCTTTTGGGTCCGTACTACGTTCATTACAGCAGGTTCAACAAACTCTGAGTTAAATCGTTGTCTCCGAGTTGATCTCTCAAGTTGGAAACTCTGAGTTTTCGGTTTCACAAAGGCTGTTGTGAGTTAGTTCAATCAACTTTAAGTTTGTTCACCTGAAGGTAAACGCGTACTTAAACTCTATGAAGCCATTCTGAATGGCAATTTCAATGAGTCACCATGGCAACAGGCGATCAGAGTCTGCTTATTTCATTACAGTGGAAATATAATGCAGGTTTACGGGGAGTTTGAATATGTTTTTAAAAGAAAAAGCTGCAGCTGCAAAGAAACTGGGAAAAGATTGCTGCTTGAGTTAATGAACTATTACATAAACGGGTCATAAGAAGAATATTCATGCCCACACATAAACAGTGGATACGGATTACACAATGAAAGTAAAGACAAAAAAACGTAGAATTCAAATTGTTCAATATTCAAATAGTTCAATATTTAAACTGATAGACACAGCTGAAGTCACAACTTAAAAAGCATGAAGTAGAAATCTATCCTCTAAATCAAAATACAATGTGGCATCTTTGTCAAAAACTTAAGGTCTCATGGAGCGTTCAGTTTTTTTAAATTTTTTTTTAATCTATCTAACCTAAAGAGTTTAGCATAATATACGCCTTGACAGCCTCAAGGAGAACATTAGTGACCATGATTAGCAACCTGTGACTACCGCAAAACCTTGTTGTGAACCTTTGTGTTACATAATAAAAAAAAGGCTTTCAGCATAACGCCATGATCTGTTTTAAGTGTAGGTTGAAGATTTAAACGTGTGCGTTCACATGAAACATTGTTAAATTAGTTGCCTTGGATTCGGATTTTTATTCAAAACATTTAAAAGTTTTTTTTAATGATCTTTAATAACAGCTTTATTCTAAAAACTCATGGTAATATATCTACAATGTGTTTATTATAACCAAATAAGTTTGCTATTCTTTGTTTTATAATGACAGCTATTCTCACCAATTATAGACCTTTGTGTCGAGTTTAAAGGCTATAAAAAGTTGTCAAAAGCAAAAATATCAGTTGGGAACACAACCAGACCACAAATCAAATCAAACTTAATTAAAACATTCCATTCAGTGGCATTATCTTCTCTTCCCTCATATTTGGTTTTAATCTGCATGTCCAGACAAAAATCTTACTGGGTACATTTCAGGATAAAATGTGCCTGGTGAATAGGGATTCTAATGTTGAATTATACAAGAGGTACTTTTAAAATATTTGCATTTCTATTCAAACAGTTTAACTTAGCCATCTAAAATGTCACTGATTGAAGGATTAAAGACATCACTGAAATATAAAGGCCTAATGAAAAAGACATTTTAAAAGTGACAGTAAGAACAAATATATTGTTTGCTTATATCCTCAGATGTGAATATTGTATAACAAAGAACATTTCCTTTTATTAACATTAGGGTTTGATGGAAATCCATCAAAAGATGAAGTCTGAAGCCTGACTTCTCGGGAATTTAAAGATGCAGTCCTTTAGAAATGAATCCAATAAAACTTTAGCCATAGACTGTGTACAGCCAGAACTTTAAACTCCAATCTAGTCATAATCTTGAGTTTAATCTGACCTCAAGGTTTTAGAATTTCCTTGCTGGGACACATTTGAGTTGAATCAGTGTAACATTAGCAGTGATGTGCAGTGCTTTAAAAATGTCTTTTTTAAATTTAGATTTAATTTTCATTACATTTTTCAACTTTTAGAACAACATAGATCAAAAACACATGTTTAGCAACATAGAAGGAAAATACTTACTTTAAAATAATAAATAAATGGAAGAAAGGAAAAAAAAACCTCAGTTAAAGGTTGAAATATACAGCTTATGCATCTTGCTTGCTTTTTAAGAAGTCTTTTCCCATACATTGTAGAAACTTTGTAGCTTCCTCCTTTTAGCATAAGTAAATTATTCCATGGCCAGAGTGTTAGACAGGGTCTTGAACCAAACATTGACAAACGGTGCTTCCATAGCTTTCCATGATATAGCAATACAGTGTTTTCTCGGCATTCGACAATCTTAAGTCTGTTGGGACAAGTCCAAAAATGAACAACTTAGGAAAGATGGGCAATCTGGTGGAGCAAATGTCAGAGACTCGTTCTATTACCTCTTCCCAAAATTCCTTAATTTTAGGGCAGGTCCACAGTGATAAAGTGTGCCTTCCTCTAGACCACACTTAATGCAGATATCAGGGTTGTTGTCATTGAAAAGGGAAGGAGTCATATATGTACGCATAATCCATTTATACTTTATACTTTATACTTTTTTCCATTCATCCACAAAAATGTCTGTGTTCATGTCACTGGACTACACTCTAAGAAATTATTCATGGGGTTAGTAGGTATAGCTCAAAATCAAATGCTTTTTCAGCATAAAAAATGTGTTTATTACATATACACATAATAATGAGTAGATAACTTAGTTTAGTAAGTTGGTCTAAATTTAAATAAAGAAAATAGTCTTAACTCGATAATGAATGGATTTTTAACAGACATTTCAACCTTAACTTAACTTAGAAGTAAGTTAGTTAAGTTTTTAAGTTAGTACAACTTAAAAATCTTTTAAGTGTCCATTAAAAGCTGAATACAAGGCTGACCTGCCTGGAATTGGTTTGCTGTCAGACCATGGCTTTTGGAGGGAAAGGAGCAGAGCACAGACAAGGATTTTAAGAACTTTAAGACTTGGTGAGTATAATGTTTTGACTTATTTTATTCAGCTAACTTTAGCTAATAACTCCATCAGCACACAGTACAAGAAGAAATCGTTTTGCACAATTTTGAATGCTTTTTTGTTTTTGCTAAGTGCAGGTCAAATTTAAGCTAGAAATGTTAGACTTTTAGCCAATTGGCGCTGTAATTCAGCCATAACTTTATTCTTTACGTTTTGTTTTATGGTGAAATCTGAAGTTTATACCAGTAGTTTTAACTTTGCGAAGAGAAAACAATAACCATTTTGCCTCTTTCAAATTTTAAATTGTTGTAGTGTCATTTAAGTTTTGACCAGCAAAAGTTGCGGGTCCGTTGTAGGTTATCATGCACAGCTACGGTTTGCTCTTCAAGACACAGCAGCAGCAAGTTCAGTGTAAAAGAGGAAGCAAATGTTGCAGATGCCAAAGGCACAGGAGTGGTCTTAACGTTATTAAGCTAGTTGTGTGTGAGTACTTGCCTAATGCCCATTTCTTTGTAACAGGCTAGTTTTCAAGCTTTTGATTTTCTTGTATTTCATAATTTCATCGAATGATGTCATTATGTGATGGAATTTTGATGTTATGATCAACAATCCATCTTCCTAGAGGAGTTCAACACTTTTTTTCTTATTCACAGGACAATTCTGTGGAGACACAGAAGGAGGCTGCCATCCGTGGCTTAATGGTGTACCTTAAGGAAAAGGAGGAGCAACTCTTCAAAGACGAGGTAAATCAGACACCACTATACTTCACATAGAGATATATTGTTTTCCTGTGGTTATTCAATTCAATTCAATAATTTATTGTCATTGTCAAAAAAGGCAACGAAATTGTGTTTGGGATACTTACTGCTACACTTAGTAGCAGCAAGTTCCAAGTAAAGTGCACAAGAGGTAAAAGTGACACCAGTGCTTGACCCCCCCAGCCCCCCCCTCCATCCCACTTAAAGTGCAGCAAAGATTATTAAGTGCCATAATGCTTGCCCCCCCCCACACACACACACACACACACACACACACAGGATAAATACACCCTAATGAATAAGGCAAAACATTCAGAATTAGGCAGTCCGTTCCTCAAAAGTGCTGTGTGTTCAAAAGTCTTATGGCCTGGTGGTATAGGCTGTTGGCAAGTCTTTTGGTCCGGCTCTGAAGGGACCTGTACCTTCTACCTGAGGGTAGAAGTTGGAACAAATGATGGGCAGGATGGTGGCTGTCACGCATGATGTTCTGCACTCTCCGTAGACAGCGTGTGGTGTAGATGGAACTAATGTCTGGGAGAGGCATTCCAGTGATTTTCCCTGCTGTTTTCACCACACGCTGGAGTGCCTGCTGGTCTGCTTTGGAGGAGCTAGAGAACCATGCTAGGAACCCATAAGTCAGAACACTGCTGATGGCACAGTTGCAAAAGTTCACCAACAGTGGCCTGGGGATGTGGTAGCTCCTCAGCTTCCTCAGGTAGAAAAGGCGCTGCTGGGCCTTCCCAACAGCAGAGGCGATGTGAGTGCCCCAAGACAGGTCCTCCGCCAAGGTCACCCCTGTCACGGCCGTGGACGGAGGAGGACTCAGGCGCAGAGTGGGTTCAAAAATACAAACTTTATTAACAAAAGGGCGCTCTCGAATGAGAGGGCAAAAACACAAACACAAAGCGCT